GTAATTTGTCACTGAGATATGTAATGAGAGGGACATTGCTCGACGCCAGACTTGCCTTGGCCGCCGCGGAATGTCCATATCCCTGTGGATCATCAATGCCCAACCGTGGAAGCGCCAGTCGAATGGCCGTATCGGCAAAGGGGGCCAACGCGGGAGGACACTGTGCCAAATACTTGGATGCCAACTCGGCCCGTCCTTGGGACAGATGATATTCGGCCCGAATGGCCGTCACGACAGCCTTTTGGGCTGCATTGGTACACAGGTTCTTGGCTTGTTCAAACAGTGCTTCTTGCGCCTTTTCTTCTTCCGTCAATAGCGGCCCGGCCCCCGAGATGGATCGTGACAAGGACGGCATACTACTACTCGTATTGGCGAGCGCTCGTCCTTGTTGTTTTTGGGGTGGTTTTTCGAGGCATTTCGCCAGTGTGAACTTCCAGACATCTCGATCTTCCTGTGTGGACGAAATGTGAATCAAGGATCGTCCATGACGCAACCAAACTTGATCCGGGCGCCGAATGTCCATGAGTAACTCTCCGGCTCCCAGCCACAGCGAGCTGTCTTCCAAGTTGTTGTTGTTGTTGTTGTTCGAAGAGGATGCCGACGATGTCGCAAAGGGATTGTTGCTGTTGTTATTGGAAGAAGAGGATGTGGGTGTATTGTTGTTATGATGATATTGCTGCGTGAGCAGATCCATGCGTTCCTTTTGAATGACCTTTTGCGCGACGCGATTGATAAATCGCACTTCCGGTGGCTTGGGATGATGGGCATCTGCACTATTATTGTTGTCACTCAATAGAATCATGTGATGGGGTGTCAATGCCAAGGACGAAATGGCGGCGGCAGGATTGTTCGCACTGCTACTACTACTGCTGACAGTAGTAGCTCCACTATCTTGACCAACGACATCTTCATAGGGGAGTATCCCGGCATCGACAATCATACTGCGTCCCCCCGTGACTAGGACATTGCTGGATTGCGATCGATCAATGGTCCCGTAATAGATTCCCATGGCGGTTCGCAATCCAAAATGATCATTGGCAAGTCGCAGATTGGCAAAATCGACCGCTCCAGGGATATCCACCAATGTCGCGTGTTGTTGATCGGCCAATGCCATGCGAAAGGATGTATTGTGAGGCGAATAGAATGTATAGAGTCTCGTCCTTGGCACATTTCGGCCGGACGTGGCGGCCAAAATCAAGAGCCCCGTCCGCAGTCGTTCCAGATACAGACCCGTGACGGCGGCGGGTGCTTCATCTGATGTCCGCAATCGATGCAAGAGCAATGGCGCTGGCATGGCTTCTTCTTGATCTTCCGACGTGGGACTAATGAGGGCATATTCGTAGATTTCTCCTTCACTGGTCCCCAGTAATATTTTCTTGGTGGATCCTTCCGTGCCCCGTTCTCGATCCCATGCGACGGCCGTCACGTAAGATCCTGGCGACAATCCTTGTTGGACATTGGAATTGTTGTTGTTATTGTTGTTGCTGGTGGTCGAAGATGATCCCCCCGTTCCCACTTTGGTTCCGGCCGTGGCAGGAATTCCCGTCAATGTGAGTGGCAGTGATCCATCGGCATTGGGTCCAAATCCTGGTAACTTTTGTGGCAATCGCAAACTGGAATGCACATAATAGGCTTCTCCATTATTGGCACTGACAATGGTATGACATCCAGTAGGATCGACAAAAACGTGTTGAATTCGTCCCGTAAATACGGTTGACGCCATGGCAATGGGAGGAGGCAATGCCATCCATTGATCGGCACTACTGCCCCGCCGGACATTCCATCTCGAGAGCAATCGTAGAATTCCTGCGGTGGGCGAAGGACACTCGAGCGATGCGACAATCCATCCATTGGCCGTGGCAACACAATGGGGCCGCGGTGGTCGGAGTGGTCGATTCCCACCTCCTTCCATACTTGCATTAGTGGGTGATTGCGTTGTGTTCTTGTCTTGTGCCGACGGTGTTCCCGTGTTCAAGACGCGACTCATGAATCCGGTGAAATACGAAGTGCTTTCACTGGCGGTATCACCGCCACCGGCCATGGCAGTGTTGTTATTGTCAATAGTAGTGTTGGTATTGTCGGTATTCGTCGTATCGTAGGCGGCATCTTGAGGAGGATCCAAGGATGTAGTGATTCCCATTTGTGTGGCCGTTTGTTGGGATGCCCGCCATAATTTCTGATAATTGGCCGTCGAAAGAACAGACGGAATCGGCCATTCCACATTGCGGGCGGCCCAGATGGGAGACGTCGAGCTAGAAGAAGAAGCAGAGGAAGAGCTTGCACCGGAAGATGGGCGGCTCATTGTAGAAACAAAGGTTGGTGCAGTGCACACGAATTAATTGATGGATGGATCCGAATAGCTCGAAATATCAAGTTTTGTTTGGAGTGAATTGTCGGTTCTTTTTGAAGCACTCTCAGTCTCTTTGACCTCTCCAGCTAGCTAGGTAGATACGGTACGACCGCTACTAAGTAGTCCTCTCCTGTTTCAATAATACGGTATATCTTCGCTTCGTCTCTCCGCCTCTTTGCCATTTGCCAGTTGTGGTGTCGTCGACCGTGTCGGTGAGAAGATCCAAACGCATTGGACGGTTGAGGAGTCACTGTTGGTTCGTGACTGATCAAATGGATCCTTCACTATTTCGAATTTCGATTTGAGATGGGTACCACCAGGTACATCTAGACTACTGTACTGGTACATGAACCTGAAACCTGGAAGATCTCGATTGAGATCTAAAACCAAGCTCTGGAGAACTCATCCATCTTCCCGAATGGTAAAGTCGTAATGGTACTGGTAACTCCTGACTATGCTGCATGCATGTTGTTCTGGCGCATGGTTCCTCTGCCCTGAAGCAGAACTGAGAGGCGACCTTTTAAGAAAGCAAGATTTATTGCTTCCCGAAGACTGTACCTGGTACCAGCCAGGTTTGATTTCGTCCTTTCTCAAATCAATGCATACACACACCATTGAAAAACGTACACCTATTCGATCCTACGGGGCGCAAGACCCTACAGTATGGAAAACGGAATGCCCTGTTTTTCGACAACTAGTTCCATTTCTGAATGCTCCATGCATGCCAATGACAGCCATGCATTACCAATGACGGCTCTAATAAAGTCTTGAAAACGGCAACAACAACGATGACTATGTGCTAACACCCGTGCGTTTCACATTGACAGTGGGAGGAAGCCTGGCATCCGTACACCTCCTCCATGCTACCGGTACAGGGCAAGTGCACACAAGAGATGTCGAACAAGGGGAGTCGAGTCGAATCCATGATGACGCCTTCACCAACACAGCAAGAAGAAGCTTCCGGGAACGGGCAATCGTAAGCCTAGCAATTCAATTTTGGGATTGGTATGAGGGCTATGTGGGTTGGACGATGCGATACGACTACGGATGGGACGAGACCAGTTAGTTCAACTTGGTTGGTGAGGCCATTGCCAACGGATTCAAATCATGCATCGAAAGCAAACCCGGGCATTCGAAACTGCTTTATCAAACGCGTCCCGAGATCTCGAGAGGCTATCGTATCTACATCCATACATCCATAATTGCAGCGTCAGCAGGGACTCTATAGTACACGAGTCGAGCTCAAGTTGTTTCCGCTGGGGGCCGTTGGTTCAATCAGTTGCTCACCCAGAAGAACCAATCTGCCTTCGTCCTGTGTTTCTTTCAGCAACGAAGCTTCTTCGGGAATATCGTTCACAAATATATTGACGCCCATCATTTGCTTTGCATGCCGCACAAGTTAGTAAAGAGCTAGCCAGCATATTCAAACTAGCAAGCTTGATCATGGGAAGACAGCTTGAGGAAGTAGAAGATGTAGAATATCATTGTTAGCAAACGCATCGATCCAGACCAAGGGCTTCCGAGCATGTCGTTGCATCCCAAGGATTTACATGCCCTTGCAAAACATCGGGATTGCCACCAAAAGCGGCTTCAGAACACATATTGGACCCATCCAATTCAAATTTGGATGCGCCCAGCTTGGGCATCCTTCGAGCATGTTGCCACCATCCCAATGGACAGTCACTTGCATGCAAAACCCCTTGGGCCTACCGGTACCGGTACTAGTACATGTATGCATACTTACTTACTTACTTGCACCGGCCCATTGAGAATCCCCCATGTCTCTTTCATCCCAAGGAATTCCGAAAGGGAAACCTCAAAGATTGAGTTTACCCCATCCTCCAAGTATATCGCTGCATTCGAGCGAACCATCAATCGCGTTCAATGTCACTCCCACCGTGGGAGAATCACTGGTCAGAGTCACCGCTGGCGAATGGCCTGTGACTTTTCTCGCCTGGGAACTTGGGAAAGAGCCACACAAGCCCCAGCTGCATGCAAGAACAAGAAGCAAACGAACAGGACACAGGAAGAGCAATCCAGAAGTGGCATGCTAGCTACTAGTAGCATGTGCATGAGTCTACAAGCAACATAAAACCAACACAAGCAGACACAACTTCGACGAACGAAAGATCATTTGAGACCTCAACATGGTGCTGAGAGTCAAGAAGAGGTTGAGGGGAGGCCTTCGTCTTGCCGGAAGGCAATCAAAGATGGAAACACATCATCCATCGCGTTTGGCTAGATCAAGGCTGATGCTTTACTGTTTGTTTGTTGCAACCACTGTTTCCTTTACAGCGAATTTATCGAAACTCCAAGGGCACTTTCGGCAGCTTGCCATGTCTCTGCAGAATGTTGCAGGTATTTTGGAACCAAGCTGGCCCCCTTGGCCCCAGTACACTGCCTTTGACTACAACTACAGCGTTACCAACCGAGGCAAAATGGTCAACGGCAAGTGGACATCCCAACGAAACAAGTCCCATACCCCCCCTCTCTTTTTGGATCGACTCGACCAGTATTTGGGGCCAGAATGTCCTCCCACAAATTCAACCAACACATCTCAAAAGGCCTGCGATGATGACGTTCGACTCTTCCCTGATGATATAAAACGCATTGAGGAAAAAGTCATGAGGTTCAATATACCGCACAAGATTGTCCTGCTGGTGAAAGAGGACATACCTTACATCAGCCTCCAGTTCTCTCGTTGGCATCTGCGGGACACCCTGAACCACACAACTGGTACCAGAAAAATGTGTCCCAACTGCCATATCCGCAACGCCCGCAAGTTCATTCCTCCCAACCCTAGAGAACCAGCACATGTGAGATACTTTCCCTCCTGTAGCGACTACAGAAATGCAAAGGCTTTTCAGGATGAGGGGGGCGGCCGGGATTTCCCAGGCCAGGTTTTAGTTGGGGACTGTGGAGAGTCACAACATGGTTCCGGGAGGGTTTTCTGGGACAAGGGTCTGGAAAAGATGGACTACGATTCAACCTTTGTGGATCGGGGTGGACCGTTCGTCAGGACATACGCTCATTTGCACTTGGCACCAGGACACACATATCAGCAAAGTGGACTACCTGCCTTTCACACCGTGAGTGACTTTGCGGAACACCTGCTGACCACACCGGTCCCATCTTGGCCGAGACACGTCAACAATACACATTTATTGCAGAGACTGGGCAACACATCCATCTTGAAGGATCTGCATGAGAAGTACGATGCAGCCTTTCTCCATGGTGACTGTGGACACTTGAGAGGAATGTTGCTACGTGAAATGGTAGAAGGATCGAATGAATCGCGTGTTGCCACCATTGCTCGATATGGTAGATGCTTTCACAATATTGAAACAGATGATGTGATGGGTGGTGGCTACAGGAGAGACAACATCACAAAACCTAAGAAGGACGAGGAAGAAAGTGAAGAATCCAAGGAAGTCAGAATGGCAGACATGATCCACAAAGACCAAGAAGCACACAGGGATGCTTCCAAGGTGGCATTGATGTCGCATCACAAATTTGGATTTGCTCTCGAGAATACTTTGAGTCCCTATTACTTCACTGAAAAACGATGGCAGGTGTTGATTGCTGATTCCGTTCCCATTGTATGGAATAATGACAATTCCATTCAGTATCTACCCGACCCTGATGCAGCCCTCTTGGTGACCGTTCCTAGTCAGAAGAATGCTGAAGAAGTTGCTCAAGTTGCTCAGGAGGTTGCCAAGGAACTCCACTACTATGCTCAACCAGAACATGAGCAAGAGTATCTTGAAAAGTTCTTTGCCTGGAAGCACCGAGGCCTCCGACCTGACTTTGTGCGCAAACTGTTCCTTTCGACTGACTTTTTGTTCTGTCGCATCTGTGAATACATGGCGCACCATCATTTTTACGATGAAGAGACTTGAGCAAGCCCAATTATGCGAGTGGCCTGACAGGCTCAGTTCTTCCATTTACTTTGCTCATGACTACGGTCAATCACGTCTCTAGCATTGAACTGAGCATTCCTGAAGCACAGCATGAAATACTGATATCTCTCTCCATGTTTTGATGTCCGAAGGTTGCAACCGCCAATCATGCCGACGGACGATGGCATGAAAAGAAAGAGTGGTGCAACGAAGCGAAGCAAACTAGCAAGCTAAGCAGCTACGTACTTATAGGGGAACATGGTGTTCAGGTTGGGTGCGACCTGGGGACTTGTCAGCATACGTGCACCCGTAATATCACGTTTCTCATTGAAAAACAAATGCTCTGCTGTAGATCGAACGTGTCAGTGCATGGTGCAGGGCGTTCTTCATCTTGCGGCTCTCATCAACCGGCTCTTCAGAGTGTTGCAGTGCATTGCCCGTTCGTTAGCTTGTCGACACCGCCAATAAAAGCAAAATGTCCCACGCCCACGAAGTGAACCCCGATATCTTTTCGGTCCAACATCAGATGTTTCGCTCCTTCCGCACAGTAGCTTTCTTTATCCATGTTGGAGTTGTCCGTGGGTGCCCGAGGAGCAGCTTGCGGAGGATCGCCTGGATTGGACAGTTTTGTATGGGAGGCGACATCGTTGGGATAATGGTAGGAATACCCTGAATGATTGCCAGGTGGTAGATAATGGGGCCCCGGGGGAGGATGTGACTATGCATACGCATTAGGCGGATACCCGTACTATGGAGGAGCAGCAACTAGTGGCATCATGGTTGCAGGTGGAATTGCTAATGCAGGGGGTAGCCCGTGGGTCCAAGTTGGCGGTAGATAGTTGGGTTGGTAGTAAGTAATAGGGCGATTAATGATAGCACCGGTATGGATGCGAGTACATGCCAAGGTGCTGGTCCTGAGGAACCACCACGACCACAATTCCAAGCAGCAGCGTGATGTTGGAGTTGATCTGGGCCACCTTCTATTTCTCGGCAGCTTGCAGCAGGTTCCGTGGGAACAGCCATCGCATTGAAGGCGTGATGTTTCATGATGGAGGAAGAGTGAATGCAGCTTCGAATGGATAGCCATCTTGCTTGGGCCCTCTAGTAGCTACCGGTAGCTTGGGCCTAAAGTTAGCATGCCTGATGAGTGTAGCTTTCGCCCGACGGCGGCCAGGCAATGGCAGCGCAGGGAAAAAAACCAATGTCAAAACTCGATCTCACTCCGTGCTCATTGTCCCTCAACGGTGAAGTAGGCCTCTTGATTGATTGATGCCGAACCAGATAATACAGTATCCAGAACATGCCACTTGTCCTGCAGAATCCCAATGCACGCTATGGATGGCCACTTCTACTATCCCCAACAGCGGTCTCGGCGTCTTTACCACGGCAGCGTTGGAAGAAGGAGATGTCATTGGTCTGGGAGATGTCATGAATCCTTGGATTGACTTGCCCTGGCATCAAATATTATTAATGGAAGACCATCCTTTCAAGAATCATGTCTGGCAAGGCTATGATACCAGTTTTAGCGTGGAATTATCTGCCTACCAAGATGTTTTGTGGATGGGATCTGGGTTGGAGGCCACCATAAACTGCCACCTCGCTCTGGTCAATACGTACAGTGCCACCATTTACAACAACAACAACAATCCACAGCACCATCGATCCAGAGATCCTGGAGCCGGAAGTTTTTCACCCTTTGTGGCAGGGGCCACGGTGGTAGCCAACCCCGTACCCGAGGGTGGAGAACTGTTCAAAATGTATTCCAGTCAATGGTTTCGGACACGCCAAGATGAATTTGGCGTGGAGATTCCTCTCCCCGAAGATTATGTCCAAGCAGACACTTTGATTCAGAAGTTTGGGAAGTTGTTTCCACAAGCCCACCATACACTCCAGACTATCCACAAAGACTTGTGGGACGTCATGACCAGCATGCCTTACCCGATTACAAAGGCTCTGCCCAAGCGCCACAAGGACATTCCTCTGGTCATTCAACATGGAATTTGGGAGGCCTATCTGATGGATGCCAAGAGACCACCCGAGGAATTAGAGCGGACTGGCCGTTGTCTCGAAAACATTCGCCATGGGCCATCTATGCTGCCGCAAGCTGGACGTGGGGCCTTTGCCACTCGCCACTTGGCAGCTGGTACTGTCATTACGGGAAGTCCACTTGTTTACGTCGAGAATAGGCATATATTTCACATGTATCAAGAAATCTATGATGCCTTGATGAATGAGCAACAGCCACAAAGCCATGATATTATAGAGTCAACGCTGCAGCACCCAGAAACAGTCCGCACACTACAAATTGCAATCAACTACTGTTGGAATCACCCCAGCTCGCCGATGCTTCTCTGTCCCTACGGAGCCGGTGTCAATTTTGTCAATCACAATCAAACCATGGCCAACGTCAAAGTGCGATGGGCACCGCATGGAGAGGTGGGTCATGATGCTTCCTTGTTGAAAGGTCCGCTTAGCGACGTACACAACCCAACCTTAGCATTTGATTTCGTCGCGCTGCGCGACATTGATGTCGGTGAGGAGCTGTTTCTGGATTACGGAAAAGAGTGGGAGATGGCTTGGCAGGAACATGTCCAAGCATTTGGGCCACCAAAATCCACCGGGGGCGGAGTGGATCCGTATCAATCCGCCTGGCAGTGGAACCAAGAGAATGAAAACTCGGATACTGCGATTCGAACAGACTACGAACAAAAGGCGAATCCATATCCAATCAACTTGCAGCTTCGTTGCCATCAGGATCTACGGAACGACTGGGAGGTCACAAACGCCGTGGGAGAGCTGAGGAACTATTCCTGGACCATGTATGACAAGGGAACACCTTGCCAAGTGCTCGACCGTTACTCAATCCACCAAACTGAACAACCAGTGTACACTGTGGGCGTCGATCGCCATGGCCCCAGTTGTGTGCAAGTCGAGAATGTACCACGAAGCGCGTTGCGCTTTTTTGACGTGCCCTATTCGACCGATCTTCATCTTCCAGGAGCTTTTCGACATGCGATTGGCATTCCAGATGAATTGTTTCCGCTGGCGTGGAAAGCAGCAACGTGAAAAAGGGCGTCGTCGAGACTCGAGTCACACTACGATGGGACTCTTCGCAAAGTGCAAAGAGCGATGGTACGGAACGGCACCTAACTACTGTAAACGGTGATTCCAACCCCGTTCCTGGTATGGCGCCTACTGAATTTTTGTGTGGCTGCCTCATCCAGGGAATCATAAGTGTATCCGAAGCTTGGTTTGTGCCTGGAGTAGAGACGGAACTTTCCAAGGGCTCATGGTTTCGGAGATAATTTGTGGGTTGCTATAGTGTGATCTGCAGTTCAATGTGCTGCATGACGTGGATTGTTGTATTCGCTATGCGAAGACAAATGCGAGATTGTAGGAACTCTTCCGTCATTCAGCACCCAAATCAATCCACTTCAAGATCCAAAACAGCGCATTGCCTTTGTTGGTCAAGTGGCTCGATCCAGAGATTACATTTTTTGTTGGCGATCTTGCAAAGCTGCTTGAACTTGTGCCCTTGTCTCTAGATACAGATCTTGACAATATCCCATGCATGCTTGTTCCTTTCTATCCAGTCGGTCGCCCTGCAAAGCCAAAGACGCAAGGGAAGGAGTTAGGCATGAGATATTAGTATTCGAGTTGCTTTAAATCTTCAATCTTGACATAATTTTGGTCCACAAACACCAAAGCACCAAGCCAGAAACTCTTGGCAAATCGGCCCCCCGCACCACCAAGCAAACACAAATCACACCCCAAGCGACTCGACTCGGATCTTTGAAGGATACTGAAAGCCCCAACTGGATGTGCCGTGCATGTACGATACTTACGGAAGTCCCTGCACACTTTTTGAAGCAAAGGTTGATTGTTTGTTTCATCATGTCTTGCATAACTTGTTGATTGGCGGCCATTGCCGCCTGTTGCATCACTTGCTGCTGCTGTTCTGGAGTTAGCTTGTCCATGGTGGTGGTGTGTTTTTGGATGAAAGGAAGCAAAGTGCTGTTGGCTGGCTGTTCGGAAAAGAATGAAGACGGCCGTGTTGGTTGTGGCGGTGGTTTACTCACGAGGAAGATTAATCACGAGTGTTGAGAAGTCCATCGAGAATCGAATCGATTGATTCAGTCGATTGAATCATTCGATTCAATCGAATCGTTACCCAAACAAGACTGCACGTCGCCCGTTCCGTTCCCATCTTCCGTTGAGAGCATGACTCGACTTCATTGGTTCTCTTTCTTCCCTTCCCGCAGAGGTTCTTTTCGGTTTCTTTTCTTCTTTGGCAAGAAGAAACCAAGCAAATTTCCTACCAGATAGATACCCCTCCGCACCATGGTCTAGCTAGCTACCTGGTAGTACGGTAGCCACCAAGCCAAGTAGCTAGTAGACGGATGAGCTCATGAGATAATGGAGGTCCACTGCCTTGACAACGGACGGGTATTCTTCTAGCTACCGGTAGTGCATGTTCAGTTGACGTTGTGGTGGGACTATGGTTAGCTACCCCTATTGGCGATGAGCGAGCGTGGGAAACTATGATATGAGCAGACAAACACAACCCTAGCTACACAGCCCGCAACAAAGGCAATGAAGGCTCTAGCTACTAGTTGTTGATATTGTTGTAGTAAAAGATTAGTTTAAGTATTATGACAAATCTGTAAAGCCGGACATTTGTCATATCAGCTCGTGTAATTGTAGTAGTGTATGTGTAGTGTACAAGATCCCACCCCTGTGGAAACAGCCATGACCATCAAGTTCCAACAAACCCAGAAAATAATAGATCGTTTTGTTGCCAAGAAGGGAGCGAGGACCCTGTACTGTACAAGTAAGTAGTTTACCAGACAGACAAAGGATGTACAGTCCTCACTCCTCCTTACGCCGCTGCCACTGCGACTGGCATGTCGCTGAAGAAACTGTTCAAGTTGAAAGCGGGTGGAGCTTCACTGCTGGAGGCGCAGGAAGTCCACAAGTCGCTATTGAACCCTGCAATCGCAAACGGTTCTTCCTCCTGATCATGATCAATGGAGATAATCGAGCCCAAAACCGAGTTGCGCTTGGAAGACGGAGACGAAAGCGCAGCAAAGATATCAGGCTCTTCCAGCACCGACGTCGCGGTACAAATAATAGAATCGACAGCTGCTTCTAGACAATCTTGCTCATCGGCCAACCCTTGGACGTGAGCGTCGTACATAGAATGCCAGGAAATCGCGTGGTAGCAATCGGAAATGGCTTGTGGATCTACTCCTTGATAATGATGACCTTGCCTCTGCCTGGCTTGTTCCTCAAAGACGGCGGCTGTGGCTTGGTAGCGCAACATGCGTCGGCTATCCGTACATTCCCTGGTACGGCATTCCAGTCCCCTCATGGTATGCTCTGGATCATCAGGAGAGAGTGCTCCTGTCCTGTTCAAACTAAGAGTTACAAGAGAATTGCGTTTGAAGGCATTGTACTCGTACCGGCTAAACCAGCAGGATTCAATCTCTTCCACTGAGTAAGCGGACAATGGCAGGATATCATGGATTACATTATCTTCGTCCGAGAACATTACCGAAGCCGTCTGGCTCCTTGCGGTTGCTACGGGGGATGCGTCATGGTGGTCCCTTTCTACTGGTACTGGTAGTGCTGACGAAGACGAAGAGCACTTCGTCTGCTCATTCGCAGTACTGGAGTTGCTGTAGAGCTGGCGTTCAACATCCCAAGCCGGAATCTTCATATTTTTTTTATTTTTTTAGCCAAAGTGTCAGGCAAGTGTCAAACGGGGCTTCTTCGCTGTGAGCGAGTGGAAACTAAAAACAGGCGATGAATTTTTATGAGACAGGCAAACAGGCGAACAAACAAGTTCCGGTGCTGGGATCCCATTCGTGTACCGGTAGGATTCTACTATCTACTGGGGAGCCAGTACTGGGAGTGAGTAGCGCCATGTGTGAGGAACACGGAACTGCGGGGAACACAAGCAACCTGCAGGCAGACGAGCAGAATTGTCGCAAAAAGTGACATTTTAGGCGGGCGCGCTAAAAGAGACGGGATCTTGTTTGCTGACCGGTATCGTGTGAACGATCTTTTGCGTGCGTCACTCGACGACCACACAACATGTTGTTGCTGCCAGACAGGAGCATCGAGTGATAAGTCGAGTGCGACATCAAGCTTGTCAACAAGACCGGTTTGATAATTGACAGTGGTTAAAGGTTGCAGTTTGCGATTCTTTGGCATTAAATCCAACACGATGCTGTACATTCTCCAGTGTTGTAAACTGGGAATGGCGGTTCGAGCTGCTGAGCCCTTCGAAATGAGACATGCATATGCAAGTGATTTCCCCCTTGTTTTGATTCGATTCAAAGAGACAACATACTAGTACCTACCGTAGTACTAGGTAGTAGTCTAACTTCCAACTCAGATTTGACTTGTGTTGTATTGTCCCCAAATTCGACATTATTTCACCCCTTTCAAAACTTTTCTTCTCACTCTTCTTCTCAGAGCAGTTTTTTGATTGGTTCCTGGCTGGTCTTTGCTGGTCTTTTGCGCCTTGGTCATCCGGTCATCTCAAGGTCCTGTACCAGTACCATGGTACGTGTACCGTAAGACTTTCAGCGATCAGCGATGGTCCTAAACACTTTCTTGTACAGTCGTATGACTTCTCTTTAAATCATACTCAAGACTATACAGTCTTATGCCTATCCCTGTCACGCAAAGTGACCTATGGCCCTTCTGGAAAACCACCAGAACTTGCAAGCTTCCCTGCAAACTGCAAACTCTTACATGTACCACCAGGCATCGCAAGTCAAGTGTGTGCGGTACAAGCAAGATATCACCGAACACTTCTTGGATCTTTCTTTGATTGCGTGTCCACCAGCGGCAATACCGTAACACTTCCGGTACAGCATTCACACAGCAACAGGGACTCGATAGGATGCTCCAGAGTAGATACCGGTAGCAAGGGAGCCTGAGTCATCATGATGCAGAGGAAGAATCTTCTCTACCATCAGATTGCTCTTGTTCTGTTGTTCTTTTTTAGCTTGACACCACTACTGTCAAGGGCTTTGGCTCCCACCCTCCAAGCAGACTCTGAAAAAGGGACAGCAGACGATGGATTGGTCTCTGTGTACCGAATTGTAGAGCCAACCGGTGCTACCGAAGTGTTGCCTGCTTCCTACGTAAAATCGTTTTCTCGATGGACGCTTGACGATGGGGGCACGTTGATCCCTCTTCGTAGTAGTAGTAGCCATGAAGAAGGAGAATGTGATGCCGACTTGGAATCTACTATCACAAAAATCATCGTTCGACCGACTCTGAATGTGATCCTTCGACCGGGCGCAATCCCTGCCTATGTTGCCGTGGGGCTATTGGTTGTGGGGGACCACAATAATCACTTGGCGCAACAATGGACGTCGTTTCAAGGAACGAGCCATGCCCAATTTCGAGTCGAACTGTTCTGGGGAGGCGCCAATGGGAGTGACCAAAGGGTGGGAGTAGTTCCTCCTGGGACGGTTCGAAAAGCCTTGGAACAATTCGGGGTTGCCCTGGCCACGACGACGCACGAGAAACTTCAGGATGGATTTCATATCGTTTCCGTACCCTTGCAGATGCAAGACATGTCGGCGGAACGACCTACGAAAGATGCCACCTGGTTTACATGTTTGGCATTGACCACCCAAGAAGCAGTACAAGTGTTGCAAATGGACCCAGCGCAAGTTCAGACACTGGCTCTTTCCAAACTGCAAGTGGAAGCTGCCAAAGTTTTGGTTTGAACAAGTAGAGCAACAACCAGAGCCAAGGGCAACGGATCCAAAATGGGGCGCAACAGAAACAGCTGAGTGGTTTTCTTGGATGCGGATTGCTGTGCAGGAGTGCAACGAATCGAATCCATCCACCATTGTGACACACTCTGGTGTCTTTGTGGGTTGGATACAGCCTTGCAGTCTCCACGAGCACTGGAATCATCAATAGTAGGCGTCACCTTATTGCGCATCTGTTACCGTATCAACAGAGAGATCACTGTCTACTCGGCGCTGCTGTTGTCCCACATCTGTTGGCTGCCACAACCGCCCGCAACGCAGCATCCGTAGGACTGTCATTTCAGGTCGCAATGAAATCAATAGGGGGAAGACGAGTGTAGGCAAAGGAATACGGTACTACTGCTGTGCAACCAGGATCACAGCTAGCAAGTTTTTAATATTTGAACTCCTGGGCTTCAAAACTACGGATCTGGTAATGCGTGTGAGTGGGATGTTCTCTGGCACTGATGTCCCATAGGCACCACCATGTCGGTTGGGGACTGCCAAGGCAGGTCCCTTCCGCTGAAGCTAGCACGAATACAGCCGAAAAGAGTTGTATCAGTTGCTTCGGTTTTCTCCGCCCGTGGGAACTACCAGTAGGCTCCAAAGTAAATCTATCTAATGATTTACTAAATTCTGTTCTCTACACTGTTGCCGGTGCGTCCACGGTGCGATGTACTACGGTACTCTATAGACTTCAACAGGTGCTTGTCGTCTTTCACCCGCTGCCGTAGAAGCCTGTCGCATGCGAGACGACCGCAGCCAGAGCCCGCGAGACCCGGAGCAGGCGATTGAATGATTGAATGTTCAATCGATTTGATTCAAACCTGGGGGAAACGCTTCGGGCAACCGAAAGGCTTTTGCTTCGGCTGAATGAGGAATCGGATTAAGTGAAGGCGCTGCCGGTACCAGTACTACCGGTGCGGCGAAGAGCTGTTGGTGTGCACCAACTTTCTGACTTCTCTGGGGAAACCAAAGTTGTTCGTTGCGAAGGCTGCTAGCGTACGGGTATTGTAGCCCAGAGACTTGACGACGAACCAAATGCGAGACGACCCCAGCGATTCGATTCGATTCGAACCATCGCAACCGAAAGGGTTTGCTTCGGCTGCGCTGACGTTGAGATTGGGAAAGCGCAAATGAAGGCGCCACTACCGGTACAGCGAAGAAGAGCTGTGAGGCACCAACTTTCCAACTCTGGAGAAACTTCGAAACAGAAACAAAGTTGTTCGACTTGACGACGAACCAATGAGATGTGGTCCGGCTGTCTGGATTTGCGGCATAGTTGCACATTTATTTCATTACTCTACGGCACATTACTCGCGACAGGCGCCTGCGCTTTTGTTGGAGATGCCTTTTCTTGCTTGCTCTCATGGTCGTCGTTCGCTCCTGCGCCAAAGCACAACACCATCCAGAAAACGAAAATGAGTGGCTTTCACAGATCGCGATCCCAACACCAAAAATTTGGCTACCGGTAGCTTGCTTCGTATTTGGCTGACAAATCCGTGGCCGACTGCCGTTGCCGTGGTTTCATCGTTCAATAATCGAGTGCGTCCAAACAACGCCAATCGACAGGAGGAGGCGTCTCCTCGCGTCCGACAATGACGCGGGGCGAATCACCGTCGGGAGGACGAACCGAAGGACTCTTCAATGCCACCTTTTGTTTCTTGCTGGATTTCTTCTTGGCGGCCGTCGTTGTGGCGCCTTTCTTGGCCTTGACAGCCGCTGCTTTCTTGGGAGCAGCAGCTTTCTTGGCCGCCTTCGGCGCTTTCTTGGCCGCCTTCGGCGCTGTCTTGGGCTTGGAAACGGTTGGCTCTTCGACGACGTCTTCTTCGTCCGACGAAACAGGATCCGTGTCCGATCCATCGTCTTGGTAGTTCACCTGCTTTTGTTGGATACGACGACGAGTGCTGCGGCGAGACAAAGTGAGATTTTCCTCCTCGCGTGTTTGTCCATTGTTGGGGCGGTTCTCGTCGTTGACGGGTGGTGGAGGACTCTTGGTCTGCTTGCTTTTGGCCTTGGTGGCGGCGGCCTTCTTCTTGCCCTTGCCGGCCGCTGTCTTGCTGGCCTTCTTGGCAGCAGTTTCTTTGCGATTGTTGTTCTTGCGAGGAGCCATGATGTCGGTGAATCAAGTAGAAGGAATGTTTCGGAACAACTGGAGAAGAAGAAAAAAGGTTCACATTGTCAGGGGAAAATGGACCTAGCAAAGCAAGGAACGACAGCCACGCAACAACCTCGTCGCGACTCGTCAGCAACAAGAACAAACTTCAACATCACCCACTCGCTTTTTCTTTGTTTGTTTTGTTTGCTTACCTGGAGGGACGAAGGTGTCGATTGCGGAGAGGAAAATGTGATGAGGCGTCGATTTGTCAGTTTGTGAGAGGAGAGAAATGAGAGAAAGCAGCAAAATGTGAGAGATGCCATTTCGAAATTCTCTCTCAGAAATTGATGCCAACGAGTGTACGATTCGATTCGATTCGATTCATCCTTCGTTCGTGACTGCCACTCAATCTAACAGACGCACCGTTGGCTGTTGGCAGTCCAATCGGATCAGATTGAGAGGAAAGAGGGCTGAATGAGAAAGTTGTCGACAACATTGTTACTACAACCTGTTCTTCCATTATTATTATTCGCTGTCATCCGTCATAGAAACTGCGTCCATTCATTTGCACTATCCACCAATCGTCCCATGCAATCTGTTGCAGCATCACATATCCAGCTTCCCTCAACATCCTACTCTCTGTTGGGTCGCAGCCGTGCGGGCGATGGCACCACCTTTGTGATACCCGAACTGAAATGGATGTTTGACTGTGGTGCATTGGTGGAGGGAAAGGGCTTACGGCAGCCCAACATTATCTGGTTGACACATACCCACAGTGATCATGTCTTGACCTTGGCACAGTTTTGTCACAGCCGAGACGCTCTCAATGCCAAGACCCCCCTGAGCATATACCTACCCGCCACGGCATTGCCGTTTGTTCAACAGTACCTGGAGGTGTACGGAGAAATGATTACCATGGGAAATGTCAATGAAGAAGGAAAATCGTACCGTGAGTGTTACCAACTGATTGGAGTGACGCCTCATCAAGAAATCACAATCCACCAGGGAGGCAAGGATTTTTATGTCAAAGTGGTGGAGTGTGTCCACCGTGTGGATTGTTTGGGGTACTCTATTTGGGAACGACAACACAAGCTCAAGGAGGAATACAGGGGATTGCCGGGAAAAGAAATTGGAGCCTTGAGAAAGAGTGGGGTAGAAATCACGTCCGTGGTGGAACGACCCCTACTCTGCTACATGGGTGACACCACAGCGGGAGTATTTTCCAAGCATCCCGAGATACTCTTGCAAATGCCTGCCTTGGTGGTAGAATGTTCCTTCTTGGACGAGGACAGTCTGGAGAATGCCAAACGGACCAAACATATGCATTGGTCGGAACTGCAACCTCTGGTGCAAGGGAATCCCAACACACTCTTTGTATTGACCCATTTCAGTCTCAAATACTCCGTCCTATTCCTGAGGAACTTCTTCCTTGAGTATGCCAACGTTCATCCCATGTTGGTGGAATCTGAACTGCAACAGGAATGGAAGGCCCGGCAACAAAAGTCATTGACAAATGATTCCTTTCCCACTTGCCGTTGCTTCGTTTGTAGTGGCAAGAAGGATCCAGCAGGGTAGAATCCTAAAGTAAGCATAAAGGGCTCCAGCAAGTAGAAAGTTGATTCAATGAAGCACTGGATTTCCTTGCATGCTGCTTTTCGCCCTGAACATACCTTTGAAGTACCGTACTGGCAGGCCCACTCAGTTCCCTTGCCACAACCAATCAGTGAAGATATTTTGAGGGTTGGATCACAAGCTCCTTCCGAGTCTCGCTCTGTTTGATTCAACTCTCTTTCGAAAAAGTGAAGAGATGGTTTTGCAGAGTTCACCTCAGACAGGGATGGGGCAACCATCGTCTCCCGATCCCATCAGGCGTAATTACGCTTGTACCCCCTTCCTCTTTCTCCGTCTGCGTCCTTCCTCTTTCTTCATCTGCATCTCGCACAAAATCTTCCGCACTGCTCTGCTCTGCCAACAGAAGTCTCAACTGCATTGGGATTCATCATCGCACAAGAATACTGTGCAACAATGACGCCAATGACACATCTGAACCAGCACAGCGGATGGCCAGAAACTAAGCCTTAGACGAAGAGATGGCTACTAGCTAGAGACGGCTATTGGAGAGGCAATTCATAAATTATTAACAAGCACCTTTATTCATTTATTCACAAGAATTTATGCGGAGGCAGCGGCGGCCTTCTGGGCAGCCTTGGCAACAGCGCTCTTCTTTTCGTAAAGGTCTCGGATAGCGAAGGCAGCAAGTGTTTGCATAAGACCAGTTCCGTTGTTGCTTCCTGGTGCCTCAGCAAGGGCAAGCATGGCTTGTGTCATTTCTCCGTAGAACTTGGTCTTGGTGTTGCTCAAGGCAGATTCGACGTAGACAAGCTCTTGGATGTTATCGAAGTTTCCGTCCATCTCAACAACTTGGCAGTCAGCTCCCATGTAGGATTCAGGGTAGTAAGCAAGCTTCATTCCTGGTTCAGGGGAGGCAAGCTTTCCTGGGGCAGGAGTCCACTCGATTTTGGATCCCTCATCGAAAAGGTAGCAAGGGGCGAAGTCGGAAACACCTTCCTTTTGGATGCATCGCACACGAAGGGTCTTCTTGTCTTCGGGGTCAAGGGCAGTGGGGAGAACCTCAATGATCATATCCGCCAATCCCTTCTGGGGGTCAATGTAGGCATCGAAGTCGGGCTTGCGGGCCTCGATGGAAGCCATGATGGATTCCAGAGAGTGTCCACGCTCTTCCATATCACGCTGGATCTTCCAGTTAAGCTTGACATCAGGGGAGATATCAAGGTAAAGGGAGAAGTCAAGAAGGTCAAGGACACGAGCGTCGTGCATGGGGTGAAGACCCTCGAAGATAATGATGGGAGTGGGCTCAATGGTCTCAGGGGTGTCAAGAGTTCCGTTGACGTGGTTGTAGATGGGCTTGGAAACAGAGCTTCCTTCCTTGAGGGCCTTGACCTGTTCGTACATGAGGTCGAAGTTGTTTTCCTCGGGGTCAAGAGCAGTGCGCTTGGTGACCTTGCGTCCTTCACGGTCGTTGAGATGGTAGTCATCAAGGCAGATAACGGTGGTAAGGTCAGAGACAAGAGTGTTGGTTTCCCATCCTCCGTTTCCGAATCCACCTCCAAGTGGTCCAACAACATCTCCTCCGAAGATGTTAGTCAGACGGCGCATGAAAGTGGATTTTCCGCAACCAGAGTCAGCAGCAACTCCAATAACAATAGGAGTCTGACCCTCAGCCAAGCCGTTGATGGCTGTGGAAGCGCGGGGGTTGAAAGCCGCAGGGGCGAAGGCAGTGGCCGAAGCGATCAAAAGGGAGGCACCGAAGAACTTCATGGTTATTATTATTTTTTTGAGTTGGCTGACAAGTTGATTCAACTAAAAATTGTGAGCTATTGATGTGGTCGTCAAAGCCTTCTCAATTCGTTTGTTTACAACGTTGCCTCCTTCAGCATCATCATCACCAATTTTCAGGCAAGCTACGAGAGCACAGATCCGCATCAAGCTCTCTCATACATCACATTCATTCAAAAGAAGTACGTACTACCATTAGACCTGCGCTCACATTTTATCTGACGTGGCCGTATCTCTCGCAAGCGGTTCGTGCATCGATTAATTTAGTCAACAGTTGTTCAGAGTGGTTGTGGGAATCTCCTCCTCGCGCATTTAGAATCCTAATCAGCTCGTCAGGGACGCAGCTGCAAGACATCTTTGTCTGGCAAGACAAGGCAATACATGTAGCCTGCCAAAGCTCCTGGCTAGCCAGTAGCTAGCTAACAGAGTCTCGGTGGCCTCTTTTACTGTAGTGCGTGTGACCGGGAATTGCCTATGTTGGCGTGGCACAGCTACCAGCGTTTTGCTTTTGCATTTGTGGGGAAGCAACGCACTGGTATGCCACCACCGCTACACCGTGTGCGTGCCTCTTGGAGAGATGAATACTAGCTATGTGGTACGGATGAAGAAATAATGTACATGGGTGGGCAATTGGAGCGTGCAATGTCTCTCCTCTGGAAGGTGACTTGCAAGTACTCGTAAGTCGGCAATCTTTACGTCTGCAGCTAGCTAGCCCGTCGAACCGGTCCAGCGGGAGGAGAAAAATCGTTTTTGCAACCAAGGGGAGACAGACAGTGCTTGCTTGGGCACCGGTGCGAGCTAAGGATAGGATACATTCTTCGAGCGCCACCTTCGGATATTCATTCTTTTGACTTGACTGGTGGTAGCGTCCTTAGCCATGATTCCTACTAGCTAGCTCACAAGGAATTAATCATTGAATCTATGGGTAGCAAGAACTGCCACTTCCATCCCCAGACAAGGCGAATGCATGAGGTTCATGCTTTAAGTTTGTCGGCTTCTCTACAGCAGGTGCCTGGAGAACTGCGGAGTGCATCACTGATTGGGACGTCAAAAAGCTACCAACATATGTGCGCTGCCAGAACCTAAAAGATCTTTCATAACCTTAGACGCACATCTAATCGTTGGACCCGGCCGTATCTTTCGATCTTACGCTGCGAACACTCTGAAACCATGGTACAAGGCACAAGACAGGAAAGTAATTTCCAACGATGACACCACCACCTCAAGCATCCAGTCCTCACCACCGTTTGAGAAAGACTTGGGATGATTTTAATCGAGCCTTGAGATCTCCTGAACCATTCAACCCTTTTGTTTGGGTGTATCGACTGTCTGCCGCTGGCCTGGATTACTGCTACTGCCAAAGCGGACTGAGCCAGGTTGTGGCAAGATATCAACTCCAGAAACGATGGACCTCCTTAATACCACTCTTTGTGTTGGGCTTGGTGTTGTTTCTGTTATTGCTCCATTTTATTTCCATTCGGAAAATGATCCAAGAACGATGGTGCGGGAGCAACAACAATGACAACTGCTGGGCAGCAATTTCTCAAGACGCCTGTGTCACCTACTTTGCCCTTATGATTCTCTTTTTTTATTTCAAGACAAATCTTACATCTCCTGGTGTGGCATTGCCGTCGTCGTTGCAGAATCCAAATAATTCTCAACCAGCAGTCTGGAAATCCACAAACAATCGGGGAGGATTCTATGGCAGCTGTGGATACCCAAAATTGGATCCGGTGGCAGAAAAGCACAGAGTGGCGCTCTACGGTCCCGCCCTGAAGAATAATGCAAATGCCACAACCAAACAACAACAACAACAACAAAAGACGAGTAGTGCTACCACTACTACTGAACTCCCGACTCTGTTTCCGAGCCCGGAACCTTCGTATTGTGACAAATGCAACATTACGCGTCCCCCACGATGCCACCATTGTCGTGTTTGCAATCGATGCGTCTTGCAATTCGATCACCATTGCCTGTGCGTCAACAATTGCATCGGATACAACAATTATCGATACTTCCTGGCTCTTCTCATCCACATTGTGCTGGCTTGTTGGTATTGCCTTGCCGTCATGGTTGTGCCATTCTACGAGCTGATACGGAAGGAACAGGCGAGACAAGAAGCGGAATACTCGAATCCAGCATCAGCAGCAGAAGAAGAAGAATATGTCAATTTGGCCTTGGAGAGGCTCTATTGGTATGTTGCCAGGAGTCGATTGTTTGAAGATGTACCGGCAGGTCCAGTGGGACTCTTGGGGCTCATTAGGAGTGAAGAGGGGTTGCCTTGGACAGTTTCCATCAAGATTGCATATCCATTCCTCTTGGGAGTGGGGGTGATCATGTCCGTGTTCTTGGGATATCATCTCAAGTATGTCAGCAGGGCCAAAACCACATTAGAGTACAAGATTGTTTTGGATGCCACACTCTCTTCACTGATGGAACAATACACAACAACAGAAACAAAATTCAAACTAGGAGCCACGGCTCAAAATCCTTTTGATTGTGGATGGAAAAAGAACATCTATCGCATTGTCGGGGACAAACCATGGCTGCTATTCCTTCCAGTCAGTGTGGACCCTCCGAGTCCTTTTGTTCCTCATCAACCGGCAAGGCGCGACTCGAAAAAGGCGAAATAATGAGCGAATCATCATTTTGGCGTTGCTGCCTCGATACGGACAATGACGGCGGCAAGTCAGTGGCCTCAAATAAGAATGGACCAACTGTAGTTCGGTGCTCTTGTTGGCATTACTATTCTAAAGATGGATTAAACTATGGTAGGTGCCCCGGAAACGTTACCTTTCAAGAGTTGGCGCTACTCATCATTACAGTACGGTGGATGCTACCTGGTACCGTCTAAGATACGATAATATCCACGGCTTGGTGAGGAAATCTTTGCTTGTCAACCATGCTCTACTCCAGCTATTCTCGGTACAGTTCACTTGTTGTCGTTTTAACAGTTGTGATTTTTTACTCGCATGCTACCGGTAAGCGCGAAGCTGACCTCGTACAAATCCTGGATTTGGTAAAACTACATACGTGTGTAAAACAAATTGCTAATCACAGCTGAATAAAAGTACCCAAAGCGGAAGAAAAGGCAAAGTCTTTGCTGCTCTATTCGCTGTTGTCGTATTGCACTGGACCCCCCGTTGACGGCGCATACCGATACTCGATTAAACGGATGCCTATGCGGAGCCACGGGAAAGGACTTTGCGTTCCTTGATCCATTTCGCACGTTGACTCTGAAATGATCTATCCTCCAAAAATCCTTTTTTGAGGTCGAAAATGCTCAGGACCTTTGGGGCCAAGTTATGGCTTGTGCACACAGCCACGCCTGGCTGTTCCTCGGCAACATTTTTCAAGCACTCCTTGAACGAGATCCCTTCTGGGGTCATAATCCCTCCCAAGTACCGGGCCTCACACTCGTCAAAGTAGTGGGGGCTCAAATAAGGTGCGATATCGCTGGCTGCCATTTGGCAACCCAGTCGCGTTCGCGCCTTGGCAAAATCGAACAAGTCGGCGATCCAGAACTTGATCTTCAACAACAACTGCATGCCCTGTAGCTCAGCCAATTGATCCTTGCGAATCTTCTCGGCCGTTGTCGTTGCGGAAAAAAATTTACGAAGAGCTTTGGAATGTTCAAGCATCGAACCGATCCATACGTGCGAGGAAAGCGTGAAACTGCCCTTTTCGCCATCGCGACACTGCATATCTTTGATGCAAATACGGAATACTGGCGTCGCATTGTTGAGCTCGGTCTTGACGAAAGTAATCAAACTGGTCAAATCGACCAGAACGACATCGTAGCCAACAACGCCGCCAGTAGTCGGGTCATTCTTCTTTTTTGGAAATAGTAGAGCAATGAGTCGCAGCTCGTCATCGTCAATCTCCATCTCGGTAAAGGGTTCGACGTCGTTGATTGAATTGGAACCAAAGGATTCGTAGATCGTCATTTCTGACGTCGCTTCGGTAATATTTGACAGCGCCAGGACCAGACTGTTGTTGCCTGGGCTTGACACAAGTTTCTTTTCGGCGTCTCTATGCTGTTTTTCTCGGGGCTTGTGTTGGGTGAACTATCTCCGAACTGCCGAATATTTGTTTCGATAAGGTTGCTGTTCTCGACCATTTTCACGGCCTCGTTGTAGATCTTCGATTCCCCAGACGCAAGACAAACGTCCTGCCAGAATGTTTGATCACCAACCTTGGATTTCACCTTGATCCACATCCGGTATTGCTTTTCCTCGCCATCTTTTGGCAGAATGTTGCGTTTGCGGAGTTGACTGAGTAGATCGAAAGGATCCTTCGCATGCATCGTGAAATCTCGACGCAAAACAACGCCAGTGTATTTCACCATGGTCAAGTCAAGTTGTGATCAGTTCGAAGGTAATCAGCAATTTGTTGCAGATATTGGCAGTACCATTGACTTGAGAATGTTACATTGCAAGGCATCTCCCTATTATAGATCGCATGATCACGCAGATCGTTTTGATCTCAATGCTTGGATCGCATTTTGTTCTTTTTTACGGCCATTATTTCTTGCTCGGATTCTTCTTGATGCTGTTGCTGGCTGGGAGAGCCTTCAGACTCCGACTGGCTTTGCTGCGATGCTCTTTGCTACAAAAGTCTTTAAGAACACAGCTCTTTCCCGTTGGCTTTGATGACGAGCATCTCACGAAAGCATGGCCTTGGAAGCAGTGGGTGCTTGCTCCTTCCCGAGCGCCTGCTTCATACTTTCTGCTCGCTGTTGAACCGCTTGTGCCATTGCAGCATCTTCTTGTTCCTGTTGCTTTCGTGTTTCCAATGCTTTTTGTTTGATCTTCAAAAGTGCAGCCGAAGCCGAAGTTTTAAGGATGGAGATGAAGAGAAAGGTCGAGTCCTTGCGCAAAGCAGGCTTCAAAGCCACCCTTCTGGGCAATCAGCATGGCGCTGTCGCCACCTTTTCCAATGGCGCATTTCAGACTACAGTACTGCTCATGTTCGGTGTGGTTCGGGTACATGCTGGGTTTGTCTGGTGGCAATTATGGACACACATCATGCATGCAGATCTGTGTTCCGAGCTGTTGGTCCTCATATGCCTTGAGTACCGGTACTCGTGGTGTCCCAGAATTATCATTCAAAGAGGGGTGAAAGATCTGAAACATGGATACTACACACCGGCACAACCCATCAAAACCATGCTCACATTTTCTAAAGGAAAAATACATGAGCGGTAACCTCTTGCCGATATGTCGAGCCCGAGGAGAGAAGCCCTTCTACATGTACTAGTAGCTAGATCTCCGCAATACGATACCTGCAGCTGGTGTGAAGTCTTCTCAATTGGAAACATTTTCTATGTTGTGTTAATCTATTGTATTGTAGTACAGTTGAAGCGTTTCCACTAGATCTAGCTTGCACCCGATCTCCTTGCTTTCTATTGATTGGTCTAATCCAATTTCAATGGCTAGCGTCCCACTTCAGCAGCGTTGCCTGTGGACACGCGGGCTCTCTTGCGTGGGTTGCTTTCTTCAAATTGACCACATTGGCTGTGTTTACCTTCTGATTGTCGGGGAAGCTTCGGACGCTTGTGGTATGGTGGGCTCAAGATACTCTCGCTCGTGGCATGGCGTTTCATGGGAGTTGTGCTGTTTGACCCACCATTGCCCGAAACATATGGTGCTGGAACTGTAGCGTTCTTAAAGGCCATCTTCTGGATCTTGACAATGTCTTCGTCAGGAACGCGGGCGACTGCCGGATTGGGGTCCTTTAATTGCGCTGTCGCATCTTTGCAAAGTTTGTCTTGTAGCTCAAGTCCATAGTGCTTCTCTAGCATATCGGTGATCGCGGTTGGTAGAACTTGTGTGAAGGAAGATAGCACCTTCATGGCAATGTCGCAGTTTAGACGGTTTCGATGGATGGACTGTTGCATTATTCGTATCCTTCTGAGCTGAAACAATTCGGCAGGCCGCCATGGTCTTGTGGGCATCTAGTGCCGGGCACTGGGCGTCAGCGAATCCACGGGCCAAAGGCTCCCATTCAGAGCTGTCAAATTGGAAAATGCCCTTCTGCACGATTTCTCCTTTTGCGAGAGCCTGCTTGAGATAGTTGACGACTTCTTCGGGGTCTTCGTTCGTTTTTGACATTGCTTCGATTACAAACTTACAGAACCAAATCATGTTGTGCGCCGAAAAAGCAAACTGTGAAAGAAGACCGACACTCCCAAAGAGAACTAACGAAAATGTATTGACGAGTCCACTCAAGATCAGCTTAATGCATTCTCGATTTACCATTTCGTCGATCAATGTTTTGAGTTCTTGTTGCGCCTTTTCAAGCTTTTTTTGCAGGCTCTGCTTCTCCTCCAATAGCTTCTTCAGTTTCCGCAAAATGGTGACTTTCTCTGTGTTCTGCTTTCCTACCAGCGCACAAATCAAGTCATTGGGGTCGTCGCCATGTTCCCTTACAAGATCATTGTGGTAGTTGTCTTCGAGCAACTTGATAGTGTCATTGTTCAACCTGAACATGTTGATGTTTCCGTACGGTAGTATAGATCGAACCGTAGAGATAGAATTGTCGTTTGAGTTGACGCACAAATTGTGACTTCGACCCAACCATAGTGGTTGCTCCAGGTCGCTAGATCGTTTTGCCGTTCTGAAATGCTTTGCCATGACTTTGATTTCGACTTTGATTTGATTTCAAAATCAAAGCACCCCAATGTCGGTACGGTATGGATGGCCGCACCAGAGTTGTCCAGACGCTGAGTTTGTTCGGTGGGCTGACCTGGAACCGGAGAAGTGCTCATTCCGTACCGGTATTGTGGATGTTATCGCTGCTGCGGCTACCGGTACGCCCGTGCGAGACTACGCCCAATAAGAATCTCGTTGCGGTACGATATCGCGCCTTCTGTGTACGATGTAGTATTTGCACGAGGCTTCGGCTGCGACACAGGATCGATTTGTCCATTGGAACCGTTTTACGATTTAGGAAGTCTACATTGTGCCTACAGACTACAGACTAGCCAAAACATAACGCTACGGTACAGTTGCCGCCTCTTCGTGCCTATTGCTCCTAGTAGCTAGCTAGTACTGGCATTTACCAAGAGCATTGCAAAACCTAAATACTGTTTAAGACCGAATGAAAAAGAAAGTAGTCTAATTATTATGTTGTACTGTGCCAATCCCTACAGTACGAAAGCCATTCAAACCTCAAGCACGTGCTCTGATAGCCTCGGTCTCTGCTTCGATGTCCGCGGCTTTTTGTTCCATGGCCGCGATTGCTGCTTCCAGACGATCTATCTCACCCAGCATATCCATGTTCTCATGCTCGTCACCGGCTTTCTTGGCTCGTCGTTGGCACTCTTCGTCTGTGGCCCCTTCCAGCGTTGCTTGTTTCTTCGCCCCTCCCATGATAGCGCACTTAAGAGCCTTGCGGTTCAAGTCAAACCGAACGTCGCTGAATTTGTCTTCCTTCGTCTGGGGCGGACGCCCCAATGCGAGAAAAGCTTCTGCCAAGTCGTAATTTAGTGAAAGCATTGGATCCTCCTCGTCGTTGCCATTTTCGTCAATGCGCTTTCGTCTTGCGATGCATCGTTTCATCTCGCCTTCCCAGAATTTCTGTCGTTCCTCCTCACACAATGCAAATTCCACTCCTTCTTCCTCTTTGATCCGCTTCAATTTCTTTGCTTCTTCTTCTTCATCTGTTGTGCCTGAAATATCAATATAAAGGTCCTTGAAAATCGCATCACCTAACTCCTTTCGTTCGCGTATATTGTAGCTTTCCGTAGCAGCGTGGTGTCCTCTTCGAAGCACTTCTTCGTCCGTCGCGCCTTCAAGCCGAGCCTTTTTCATTTCAGCCCCCACTACGGCAGTATACATGGCTTGCTTTTCAAAGAACACTCTCGCGAATTCGTACTCGTCCTTGCCATCCTGAGGGGCTGGGGGGCACCCAGCATCAAAGAAAGGTTGGAACATGTAATCCTCAAATCCTAAGGATTCATCATCCACTTCTTTCTTGGCAAATTGTCGCTTCAAAGTGTCCCAGTAGCGCTTCTTGGTTTCTTGGCATTCCTCAAACACTGGCAGCTCTTCCTCCTTGCTGTTGTCGATCTTTCGCTTCTTTTCCGATCGCTCTTCCTCCTTGCTGTTGTCGATCTTTCGCTTTTTATCCGATCGCTCTTCCTTTTCCTTAATCCAATCGCTCTTCCGCGGAAGCCCCTTGCTGAGGATTTCTGCAGACAAACCTACTGATTCAACCCAATCCCTTATTTCCTGCGGCGTCCATTGTTCTTTTCGCTCCTTTTCCTCTTTTCGCTCCTTTTCCTCCCACGCGTCCAGCGCCTGATCCAAATCCGAGATAAGTTCCTCCGCTTCTCGGTCCAGTTCTTCGTCCATTGTCATGTTGTTGTTGTTGTAGTACTTCATGGTATGTCAATTGCAATTCGTCGTTCGATGTGACAGCAATTCGTCGTGACAAAGGTCTCGCACCACAAAAATGAATGAATGAATGAATGAATGAATGAATGAGCAGAGAGTGACAATGCCACAAAAATGCCGAGCAGTCGATGTTACTCGATCGGTCCACGCTGAGTGAAACGATCCGACTGACATGCATTGACTGAGCAGTCGAAATCTCTCTCGTCGCTCTGTCATATATTCTGTCCAATGTCATCACCTGTCTCTCTCCATGGTCGCTGTCTCTTCGTCGCTCTGTTTTGGTATCCTTCTTTGCATCGCGGCTCTTGTTTCCTGTTGTCGTCGATGTGTTGATGTTGATGTGCGTGTCGATGTGATCCACCGATCGGATCCAGATGGATTGAGTTGGATCGTGTGGTGAGTGTAACGTGAGTCCCTGTTGGTACGGGACTCAAAAAGCTGATCGAAGCTCCCTTATTAGGTCTACTTTTTCCCGTTTCCTCCTCTTTTCTTGGAGGAAGCAAGCAAGATCTTTGCACTACATGTAATGTATTTGGATATCCCCTCCTTTGTGTCAAAGCATCAGGTCCGTCCTAGCTAGCTAGTTAGGAGCAATAGGTAGCTAGCTAGTAGAGTAGCTGAGTGCTGTACGAAAATGTTCACCGAGAGTATTGCTGGAAAGAATGTGTTGGTGACGGGTGGATCTGGTCGAAAGGAATTGGCAAGGCATGTTTCTCAAAGCAGCAGCCAACGTTATGATTGCTGCGCGTCAAGGCCACTGCCGATGCATTGGGGCGCAGTTATGTATTGGGCAATGTCGGTGACTGGGACGGTGTGCAACGGGTCGTTGCCACCACGGTGGAAACATTGGGCAGCCTGGATGTACTGTGTGCCAATGCTGGATATTTCCCGCAAACCAAAATGGTCGATATGGATCCGGAAGAGTGAATGGGAGAAGACTACTTGCAAGGAATGGCGGCATCCATTCCTTTGAAAAAGTTGGGAAATGCTGTTCTTTGCCAGCGATGAAGCCAGCTGCCTGCGTAACGGACAACAACTCGTAGTGGACGGAGTACACATGATTATACCGGAACAGAGTCGATTGAGGAGACTTAAATTTTGATCTTGACGATTGAGAGATCCATGGAAATGCTTACTTTCCTGTTGGCTGGATAGTAAGTATACCCTTTGCAGCCGTACGGTACGGTGCCGGTAGCTCTACATCAACCACCCGTTTTGTTCACGGTTACGTGAGCACAAATAATAATGCAATAACGATATCGCAAACAACAACAATCAATCGAAGACAATTATATAATAAACACAACATCTAGCTACCGTACGTAGTTCACACCATTTGCCTGTCCCCGTCTTGACATTTGTTTGAAATCTTTGCGTTGTATCACATTCCACATACACTTGGTCGTCTTCCGTCATTCCCTCAGTAGTCTTGCGATGGGAGGTTGTCTTTGAGCGTCTTGATCTCCAACAGCAATACACGCATACTCTTGCTACCCTCCGCGTGCGCACTCTTGCTGCCATCCGCGTGCGTCTTGGTGGTGGTCGTAGTACTAACCTTGCTACTGCTACCTGTATGAACCGAATGACGGCGACGTGATTTGTTGTTGTTGCTGCTGGGAACGACTTTGGTTTCCATGACGTTTTCGTGTTCCATAACGTGAATGGACTGATTGGCCCAATTGACCCAATCAAAGGACGCAGCTCCTTTGGACTTGCCACTATGGCGTTTCTTGGACGAGTGATGATGATGATGATGATGATGACTTTCCTTGGTTGGCTTAATATTGACGGCGAGATCACTGAATGATCCTCCCAACGAAGAGGAGGACCCATTCATGGAGGAGGAATCATTGTACGAATGGGTAGCCCAATTGAAAAACTTGGGTTCTCCTTTGTCTCCTTGTTCCGACTTGCCGTGTCTCTTGTGATGATGCTTACGTGACTTGGAATCTTTGAGTCTTGGGCTGCTATGGTCCTTCATACTGGTGCTCATGGATGCCCGACGAGACGACGACGACTGTACATTGTTGCGGGGCATGATATTTCCCGTGCTGCTAACTCGTTTCATTGTGGAACGTCGAGACGACTGTGGATTGGAATCTTTGAGTCTTCGGTTGCTATGGTCCTTCATACTGGTGTTCATGGATGCCCGACGAGACGATGACGACTGTATATTGTTGCGGGGCATGATGTTTCCCGTGCTGCTAACTCTTTTCATCGTGGAACGTCGAGATGACTGTGGATTGGAATCTTTGAGTCTTCGGCTGCTATGGTCCCTCATACTGCCACTCATGGATGCCCGACGAGACGACGTCGACGACGACGAGGGCATGATGTTTCCCGTGCTGCTAACCCGTTTCATTGTGGAACGTCGAGACGTTTGTGGAGTGGCTCGTTCTTCGACCAATTTGACAATTTTGCGGATACTCCGGTTCAAAATACCGCGTTGTCGTGCGACGCGAAACAGCGCCGTTTCGAGTTCTTCCTTTTGCCTTTGGCCATCGCGCAAGGCCGGTTGGAACTTGGCGGCAGTTTCTTCGAGCGCCGCAATTTCCTTGTTCAATCGAGTGATTTCTACCTGTGTCTTGAAATCAATTTCGTCGAGAAGCGATTTCTCCTCCTTGAGTTTCTTATTCTCTTTTCGGATTGCTTTGACTTGTGGCTTCATCTCGTCGTTCGCCTTTTTGTATTCCTCAATTTCCTTCTTCAACGTTTCCACCACTTGCTCGGAGTCTTCCATCTCCTTCTTGAGAGCTTCTGGCGCTTCTTGCTTTTCCAGTTCCAACTGTTGGGCAATCCGACGCAGTTCTTCTGCTTTGCGCGCTTGGCAGTCTCGGAGCTCTTGCAAGCGAGGTTCCAAGACGCGTTGACGATAGAGTCGAGCCTGTACCAAAAAGGCACGGCAGAGCGCTTGAATCTTTGTGGCCGATTTATGAAGTTTCTTTTGAAAGAACTTGGAACCACCAAAGGCGCCTCCGCCACCAAAGCTACTGACAGGTTGGGACCCGCCTGATGTCTTGGGGCTTCTCACGGTACCACGGAGTTGGGCCATGGTTGTTATTGGGTAGTTCTTGGAAACTTGAGCAAACTAGATCTATTGTGGCACCTCGAGCACAGGGGTAGCTACTAGATTATCAGAGATAATCTTTCTGATCGTCTTGTGAGATCCCTACTGGCTAGCTTGCTTCAGACTGTGACTCTGATGTTGGCTCAGTCCCTCAATGGAACCTGCTCCAGATAGGAAGTGAGGCAGCAAGCAGTGAGTAGGAAGGAAGCGGAAACCTGACGTGCGAATCGAAGTGCGAAAGGAATTGTGAACAAGATCGATCCAAGTTTATTGGCTCATTTTTTCACGTCGAAATCACTCAAACCCAAGATTATATTAATATTCATTTATTGTCAAGGCCACATGCGAACTGGGATATGACACAGGTTGTGACACTCCTTAAGCAGCTGTCATAAATGACTTTTGATGTTAATAATTGAATTTTAACCAGTATGACCCAACATGACTGAGACATTTACTTGATATCAAATGGTGATAACAAATTTGTGGTAGTTACTGCTAGGTTTTACCGTACTTAAGTACTTTTACACTGTACTTAAGTACCGTACCGTTCCGGTGTTCCGGTAGCAGAGAGGCCAGAGAGCGAAACAGCGAAACAGAAAAGATTCATCTTTCGATCGATATCCGATGCAATCATTCATCGATCAAAGATCAAAGCCGTCTACGTACTCTAGCTAGTCTACCAGTACACAACCGAGATGCATGGTGCCGTGGTTTTCGTTTCAAGTCTAACTGGACTACTGTAGCTAGAAAGAAAGATGTTGAGAAATGAATCGCCAATACGGTACGATTTCAATAGTCAACTGCAAGTCACCTCAATTCTGTTTGTGGGCGTCTTCAGCTACGTAAGAGTCAGAGTCAGCCAGGGCTTTTGGGAGGTTGACTCGCTGGGCTCTTCGGTCGACTTTGCTCCGACCACAGCCGAGAATGATCCCAACCCGGAAAAAGTTTGGATCGTTTTGGGGCCAAGCAAGGACTTTCAAAGTCGATCATGGCTGGACGGGTTGCTTGAGATGGGGAATTTTGGCCCGGTCCTCTTTTCGTTTTCGCATGACCAATATAGATAGTTTGCCGACAGAGCGACCCCTCTTCATGCGAGGATCCTGGGAGAGGTGCCCGATGATCCAATGGCATCAAGGAGCGATATCCGGTTGTGCCCCCCCCATGTTAGCATCAGCAGTTTGTGGCTCCTGACCCAGGGGAACACAGCTACTAGTTCTGAATTCCACCTTTTCTTTCCCTAGGCCTGCCCCACTGCAGTCTTCCATAGATAGCTTCCCTACGCTAGAAGAGCTTCTACGTGTAGCTACTAGCTAGTAGAGACATTCAATGTCGAAGTTGTTGTGGGCTCGACCCGGAGAATTGGTTTGACTTTTCCAGCTTTCCTTCCTAAAGGGCACCCGGAAGAGTTGCGTCACAGGTGACGTGACTTTCGAAATCTGATTGGCTTTCGATGACGTGTCCAAGGAAAAAGCACGTCATTCTGAGTTCACTCTTGCCTTGCTTTTTGAGCACAGAGTGTTCATCGCCTTCGCCCTTTTTCACTGTTTGTGTTACATCATAGCTTGCTATTGTTTATCATTTGGTAGCCCCAGCATCCTCTTCAGACAACCTTCTATTTCATGCATAGCAACATGATTCATCGTTTCCGTGTAGATACCTGGATTTGGGCATTTTTCTTTGTGGCATTTGCAACGGCGCAGGAGCCCAGCTGTCCTCACGGTCTCAGTGCCAATGACATTGCCGCCAGATCGGAACTTGACTTGACGGGAAATACTGCCTTGATTACGGGAGGCAGGAGCGGACTTGGATATGCGATAGCAGAGGCACTGGTTCAACAAAACTGCACCGTCGTGATTGCCAGTCGATCCGTCCCCGAAAACCAACAAGCCGTGGCTAAACTTCAGGCCCTGGGCGGCGACGTATCCTACGCAATTTTTGATTTGGAAGACTTTTCCAGTGTCGAGGCATTTGCCGCAGAACTCACTGCCAATCATAGTCGTTTGGATTACTACTTTGGCAACGCGGGACAAGGAGGATCAGGAGCACAGCCCTTGACAGTGGATGGGTACGAACGGATCTTCCAAGTGAACTATGCCGCCCAGTTTCTTTTGATCGAACGACTCCTTCCTCTCCTTCGAGCCAGTGGGGAACCGGCCAGAATCTTGCTCACAGGGAGCAGCTCCAACTCCTTGGCATGTGGATCACTTGGCATGGCAGCTGGAAACTTTCAACCCGACGTATGTTTTGATTCCAACAGCACCAGTGGCAACGCCATGTCCGTGCTTCCATTTGATCAAACTGGGTTGGATGCTGTCAACAGCACGTTTGACTGTCCTCCATTGGCGGGTACGTATCCACTCACCAAGTTCCTCATGATTCAATTGGCCAAGGAAGTAAGCCGCCGCGAAGCTGAAGCTGGCAATCCTGTCTATGCCTTTTCATGGGCGCCCGGTAACATTCAAACCGATCTGAATCCGTGGGCAGCCTGTTGCGTGGGACCAGTCGAATGGTTTGGACCAACCTGTCGGTATCAACTCCCCTATGTTGGTCCCACAGATGACCTTGGGAATCCCAATCCACCGGATCCTCCCGTTCCCAATCATTGGTCGTCACCGGCCCATGGAACCATGTCAGCCCTGCATGCTGCACTCCATGCTCCAGTGACGGAAGCAGGAAACTTTTATGCCGCTTACTGGGAATGCGAAGCCAATAAAGGATTCTTTCCACAGGGTATGACAGAACAAGGACGCATGGAACTCTACGAGAAGAGTTTGGAATGGGTAGGGATTACACAAGCAGAAGAACAACAGCTGGCCGCACCTGACATGATGGATATTGAGGATGGAGCAGAGGAAGTAGAAGTGGGTGGCGGAGAGGCAACTGTGGCCAAACAAGAAGAGAACGAAGACGTTGATAACAAGGCCTTGGAATCTTCTTCAGACGGCGCCACCGGTGTGCCTATCGGTGTGTCGCACTACTCTTTGGTACTCCTCCTCGCAGTAAAGCTGTTTTACTGAGGTACAGTAGTTTGAACTGGTAGAAAGTCTAAGTTTCTGTTTGTCATCCAATGCTTTGGTCTAAACTTTTCGGAACATCGGGGCTACTCGCTCGCGTTGCCCTATTATGTGGTATCGCGTGATACCGGTACGGACAAGAGCCGCCTTGGCAGTTCGATCTCAAAGCTCAGCAGCGGTTGGGGCTGCAAGCCGCCGCCCAATGTTGCAAGTTGCAAGGAAGACACCATTGCCAAGCTAGAATCTCTCATTTTGTAGAAACTGAGTGGCAGTAGCACTGTACTAAACCCCCCTTAAAAACTAGCTAGCTACCGGTAGTAGTAATAGTAGTTTTCGCGTCACGAACTTAGTCCCGAATTATTTGATCTGTTCCCGGCATTTATTTTTATTGACGTGTGACGTGGTGCTTTGCTGCCACGGAAATTTTAAGACGAAAGAAGCCACAGATGACCCAAGCTCTCGATGGTACTACCATCGAAGACAGGGAGGAATCCACAGAAACAAGTATACGGTAGGGAAAGATATAAGAAAGGATCATGCCACCATTTCCAGTTGAGATTTTCGCTCGGGTGTTTCCCTTTGTCAGTGATGATCCGACAACTTGGTACAATTTAGCCCAAACCAATGGACAGTTGCACGGGATTTCCAAGGCATTGGGAGGTCCCTTCAAGTGGCCCGACACGTTGGTCAGCTGGGAAGACGACGATGATGATCCCTCCGAGCATTATGTCCATCAAGTCAAATTCTCCCAAGATGGACGTTACATGGCCATTATGCTACGAGTCTACGAGAATCCACAAGCCGTGCAGTATCATCGCGTGGTCCGTGTTTTGGACATGCGAGAGAAAACCAACAACAACATCTGCCAACCGATTCAAGATTTGCCCATGGGACGGTCCACTCCCTTTACGGCCTATTGTGGAAATTACTTTGTCGCCTGTGAGCCAAGACGAGTACGAGTATTCGAGCTGGACGCCCAATTGAACTGCTACCATCAAATCCAAGAGTTGCCCAGCGTCGATCGAATTGTAGGAATTCAGTGTTATCATGACGAGCAGCAGGATCCTAAAATTGCTCTGCAGACGGAAAATGCCACCCACGGCGGACAGGCGCAAAATGATAATGTGAATGGAGCTACCTGCACTTTGACCGTTTGGGGGCTTTTGAATGGCCAGTTCCAACGAGAGATACCCTACCATGGATCGGCCAATTTTTGTATCTCCAATGATGACCGAGTCTTTGCCTGTATCGACCGAGAGCAAGATGGAAGACCCGTCACCGTAATCTATTTTGGTGGAAACGACGATAGAATCAGCAACAATACACGGCAGCATGACGACTATCATGGACAAGCCAGAACCTACACCATGGACCTTCCCGGCAATCCTCGGCGACATTGGATTGACACCTGCAAGTTTTCACCCGACGGACAACGATTGGCCGTATTGACGGAACTGTATATATTTCAACTCGACACATCGGTGGAGCCACCCGAATGGATCCATGGCGCTGGAATTGCACCCGATGGATGCACATTTTCGGGACAGCTGCAGTATTCTCCCGACTCGCAACGAATCATGGCCCACGCCAGAACTCCGTGGGACAATGTGTACCGAAATGACAATCATCAGGAGCATCTCAATACCATTCAAGTTTGGGATGCACCATTGATGCAATTGCAGGCTACCAAAGGGTTTCATGATTTGGTGGGAAGTGTGGGATTGAGTTCCGACGGAAAGTTTGTCATTGTGATTCAGGGAGATGCTACGGATGTCTTTCGTTCCGCCATTGCACGCATTGTGACACGGTATGTGGCAGCCATGGAAGATTACAACCCGTATCCAGAGTCTGGGGCCCACGACATTGATGACCTGCTGGTGGTAACATAGGGCGACTGACTGCCCTTTTCCATCATGCCGTTGCCATGAAATTTCTTTTTGAAGGTGTTTGCAGTACACACTACCATGTGAGTACCTGATGCACGTGCAAGTTTGTCTACAGTCTGCCGGAGACGAATCTCCCTTTCTGAGCAACGAATGTGCCTACAGTAGCTAGTCAACCCCCCTCTAACGGAGGGAACCCTAGCTAGCCTTTCCGGACCCGGCAACGACGTCAACACACACCCTGGCAAGGAAGCTTAGTATCCGTAGTTGAGGGAAATATGTGGTTAAGGTAAATATGGGGTGAAAGGCATTATGCATTATGTCACTTTTGTTTGCTGTACTTGTACAAATTTAGATTTACCGCATCTACAGGACCCAAAGCTCTCGCATCATGATGGTTGTGCACATCCTGATTGGTTCTTTCGCCTTGTCGCGGCGCGGCATTGCTTCAAACCAGGCTTCCCAAGATCATCTCCTCTTCTCTGGACTTATTGTGATTACCATTCTCATTGCACTACACGACGATGACGGCTCTACCTCCGGCGATACAGCACCGGATAGCTCTCGGAATCGCCATTATCTTTGTTATTGGTGGATTTGTGAACAAGCTCAGTGGGCACGAATTGGTGATTTTTCGATCTACGGATTTGTATTCTCATACTCCAAGCTCAGGCCAGGACTATCGAGCTTTTATCGGACTTGCTTGCTATGTCCTACCATGGGGCAAAACAGAGCTTTGGAAGAATGGGGATCCCATTGAAAACGTTCCAGGAATCCAGGTTCAAGATTTTGACACGGGAAAAGCACTGGTTGAGACGATCCGAGCAGGAGACAGTACTTCTCCTTCTTCTTTGATCAAGAAGGACGACCCGAGAATAGTAGCTTTGAAAGAAAAGTTAGCAGCGAGCCAAATCTCAATCGAGGATGGATTGCATGTCCAGTGGCTGTCTGTGGCAATTCTCGCCAACAATACGCAAATAAGCTGGTGGGACTATCTTACGTCTCCAAAGCCTCGTGTTTCCGTTCTCGCCTACGCCAACTATAAAATGCTACAAACCAATTTGGATCCACAATACTGGGGGGACATCATGCCAGAAGATTCACATTACCAGGAATCCATCATTTACTGGATACTCATGGCCATACCAGCTGCACTGTTGGCGTACGACCTAAGACCCTTTGGTCCATCCTCAAAATCTGCCAGAGAAGCTCTCTTTCGGCCCTTCAGCTCTCCGGTGGCTCTTCTATTCAAACGATACCTTGCAGATGTCTTTTTTGAATATATTACACTAGACGGGGCGAACAGAGTATTTAAATTGCCTGGATACCACAGCATTGTCTTTTTTCTGCTTGCCATATTGGACAGTTGGTTTCTACAACGACGGCTACACAACAAACAATACATGGCTCTGTCTTGTGGTCTGAAGCTTGCAGGTATTGTGGGAGTTACAATCTATGTTTATCAATATGAGCTTGATCGTCGCTACAACACGGCCCACCTCAGTATTGAGGCACAGTGGACAATGGGCAATCTCGCCGCACAAATCTTGGCAATGATCTATGGCAGCCAGTACTACGAAACCTTGGAGGCAGCATTCAACAAGCTTACTTTGTCCCTTCATTTGTATTCAGCAGGCTGCACCAAAATGGGAGAGGCCGGTCTTGGCTGGGTTGATGATCGCTACATTGCGCAATTGGCTTTGCGGGGGCAATATTCCGGCGCAGCCATCAAAAAGTACCTCCTGGCAGACATGATGTTGCAAACGCCCGCCTTTTTCAGAGCCGCTGGCATGGTCGTAGTTTTTGCCATGGAACTCACGGCGGTATTCTCATGGTGGAACTATGGCATGTGTCTGAGGATCTGGGTCTTGTTCATGCTCTCATCAACCTTGACTATTGGCGTGCCCTTTGCACCCCAAGCCTTTGGTCCTCTGTCAGGACTGCTCATCTACATTACTCAGTGGGGAGTGCTGGTAGTTTGTGTGTTTTGCTTGGTAGTCCTGACAATTGGAACCCATGTTCTGGTGAAAGATGACAACGGCAAAGGAAAGAAGTGGATTGATCCATTCCTCCTCCAAGAGACGCTTGTTGATAAACTCCGGCCATTTGGTATTGGGCAACCGAAAGTAACACATTCCAGTATACGACGACAGCAGTTATTTTACCAATCAGGACTCCCGTCGCTCCCCGAAGAACGTTGAGGAGGCAAAACTTAAAGCATGCTGGTGTCACGGGGTGCTGATCAAAGACTCGTTCCTGACTATGCCAACATGCAACACAACAGCAACTCGATGCTGACTTGCTTTAAGAATGCTGACTCGTGTGGTATGGTGGGGCCCTCGTTTGCAAATGAAAGAAAGGGAGTAGATGGCACAGTCATACGATTGTAGCAAAAAGACTGAAGTTAGTAAGTCCACACACAACTGCCTAATGGCTAAAACACAACTTGGAATCTTGTTGTAGCTTTTTGGTTTTTTGACTTTTTAATCCCCATGGGAATCATCAGTGCTTGGGCTGGGCCATTGTGGTACACTTGAATGTTGCATTGTATCGGCATGCCCAGTAGATTTCCTTGCAGAAGTTGATTAGCTTCTCTGGCGCAGGAATTGAGTTTCTTCCTGTTGCATAGGCTGCGGTGCCGTGTCCCGAAGGGTTTCATGATTTGGTGGGAAGAGTGGGATTGAGTTCCGACACGGAAAGTTTGTCATGGTCTGATTCAGGGAGTGCCAGGGATGTCTTTCGTTCCATCATTGCACTCATTGCGCTCATTGTGACGGGCTATGTGGCAGCCATGGATTACAACCCGTATCCAGAGTCTGAAGCCTGCGGCATTGATAACCTGCTGGCGGTAATGTAGGACGACTGCCCTTTTCCATCAAGCTGTTGCCATGTCACTCCTTTTGTGATGTTGTTTGCAGTACGCTAACACGTAAGCTATCTGGCGCACTTGCAATTCTTGTCTACAGTCTGCCAGAGACGAATTCCACTTTCTGAGTGACGAATGTACCTAGCAAGAGTGCATGAAGGGCTGCTGTAATCAATCAGTCAATGGTATGCTGCAGCAGCCTTTTGACCGCCTTTGCAACAGCAAACTCCAAGGCCACCGAGCAGGACGCATCTTGCCTGGGTTCAGGGAGCGCATTTTCAGGAACCAATTTGCCCGTGAAAATATGGTGTGATGTCATCCCAGGCCGCATGATCGGATGTAATCTAGCTACCGGCACCTTTCTCCAGGAGGCTAGCTGCTAGGATAGGCAAGATACGGTTACTTGACTTCTACCTAGCAATCATCCATCAAGGTTGCACACGCACAAACTGAACCATAGCATTAGCGTTGCGAACAAGCCCTGAACGTGGCCCATGCATTTGCGAAGCTGGCCTGCAGTCTGGCTAGCAGTCTCCATTGCACTCCCGCAACCTTCCAATTCCGGCTCCCGAGCTTTCTCAGCAAGAGTCATGCGTGTGTGGTGGGCCTGTGGGCATCACTGGGAATCGAAGACGTCAGCAGCCAGCGCGAGCTTGTTGCTTCCTTGGACATCAGGGAGGATCCACCCATCGGCTCTTTCAATTCCGAAAACCCGAATATTCTGTGTTCGCGTTTAATTCGAGGCATTTCAAGGTTCGCCAACACTGGGTTTTTAGAAGGCTCCTGACGAAGATTCCATTCTCACAAGCCTCGAGAGGACCCATCAATGAAAGGAACCACTGTCTGAAATCGACCAAAGAAAGACGTTCGAACAAGAAAACTTCCGCCAAACAAGACTATTGATAAGGAACGGTGTGAACTGAAGCTGACATAAGCACCATGAGAATGAATCCTTCGGCTCGCCTACTCAAGTTTTTAAAGCAACCAGCGCAAATCGCCAATGCCTTGGACTGGAAGAAGCAGACCAAGACCATTGCTTCACTACACATTGGTCGCCACCACATCGGTGTGGCGATTGCCCATCATCCCAGTTTGGGAGAAGATGTGTCTATACTGCATCCTGTGAACTTGGATTTGGTCACTCGAACCGAAACCAACAGAAGTGCTGTGGATCCTGCTTCCGTCGACCGACTGGAACGGATATGTCACAAACACAACGTCGGCGGCTTTCTCGTGTGTTGGCCACTTCAAAAGGAAGGTCGTGCTGGAGCTTCCTGTGGAAAAGTCTTGCACACGCTCGAATCTCTGGTTGAAGACACAGATTCTGTCTTCACGCCGAGTCGCCCGATTTGTTTGTGGGTTGGCGGGGAAGGAGAAGACAGTGCCGAGGCGGCAGCAACAAGGGAAGCATATGAAGAAGATGAATGGGGACGGGCAGCTGCGTATTCTCGTTGCTGTTATGACAAAACAATCTACTTGGCGAGTAAGGAGAACTACTGTTTTTTGAAGGGGTCCAGTGAGTTTGCGGCTGTCACATCCGACGCTTTCGCGCGGCAATTTTGGCCGGATGAATTCGAAACCGAGCAAGAAGGACACTCTATCATTGAACCAGTTAGGCATGGGAAAAGCTATGAAACTGTGAAGGTAAGGAAAGCGCACAGAATCAGTGACATGCCTTCTTCTTCCTTTGGTTCAGGAGAAGGCATCATCTCTGTTAGCTTTCTGTATCCATCCTTTTGACTTTGCGGCTGATGTGACGTGGTTCTCTTGTTGATTGATTCACGTGATTGATTCGATCGATCCTCCCAACTGCTTTTGATTGAATGATTCCGTTGTGGCAGGAGCTACTCAAGAGCTCTATGGACGAGGAATTGCCTTCTTACAGATATGCATAGCTCAACGAGATTGACTGGCAAGGGAAGACTTGTTCTTTTAAGTTTCCTATCCCGCTGCATCTTCCCTTGCCAAGAGAAGCAAGCAGGCGATTCGCCCAATGCTTTTCATATATGATCTTGAAGCAAGCGCCAACTTTTTTCACTTTGTCGTTTCTGTGGTGACTGGGCAGACGCTAAGACCCAGGCATCAAATGGGCCAGTCAGAGACCGGCTAGCTAGCTAGCTACGGTGCGCAACATCATCCTTCTTCAAGGATCTTCACTTTTGGATAAGGATACATTGGAAGATGGTTATGCGATGGGCGATATGAATATATTGTCGGCAGGGCAAACCACCCACACTAAGGAACACCGTTATGGGATAGACATCCCAAATACCTCTTGCTAGAAGATAGGTAGACACGTACCGGAACTTGCCCGGCAACGCGCATCATTGAGGCTGTGTTCAAAGCAATGAGGTTTCATGGCCAACTTGCTGAACTGGGGTGCCATCTACTATGCGCCTTGTACAGCCAGCGTGCCACGACACTTAGTACCAGTACTGGCACCACTTGACTGTTTGCTTCAAGTTCAAAAGCTCAGGATTCTCTGGAGGTGGCAGGTGTGGCTAATGACCAAACGGGGAAGTGTGAATTGTCTCATGATCCCTGCTCCAGCATACCCCCAGCCAGCAATCTACTGAGTCTTCAACTCTATATTATGCATATGTGAAAGCAGGTCCCTAAAGTGATGAACCAACCAAAGCTTGTACATTTGGTGAAACATCACCTGATGTCCGAGGCTGCAACAGCAGCTTCTGTAAACAATTGCTGTGTCATCCAGCTCCCTAGTAGCAAGTTCAGGCATGACCACGTTCGAACTGCTCCTACGCAAGGAGGGGCGGGGCGGATAGAACGTGGGTCATTCCAACAACCAACGAGCTCTTTCGTCGCCGTCTTCATTTTCTGTGGTGCTGAATTACTTGTCACTGCAACGCATATTCTTGTTTCTTCTTTCTCTGAGGGAATACCATAGCTCAACTGGATTACGCTCCAAATGGCAGAATCGCGGCGAGAAGTAGATGTGCGGAGTGTTACGTGGTGGAGCGCTCTGCGTTGCGCAGATGGGCCAGAGAATGATATGCTAGGAGATAGCTACTGTTTAGCCAGTTTATGTTATTGGCTATTTGCAATGTATATGGTGAAGAACTATGATTGTGCAGTTTCATTGCATATCAATCTCCTGCTCTACTTTGGTTGTAGCAGCTTGATTGAATCTGCTCATATAGCTCGCTAGTAGGGCTGCAATAGACGTACGTGGCTGACACACAGCCAACCCTCTCATGTATGGACCAGGAATCTGTGTCGATATGCTCGCTCAGACGTTTCGATTGATCTCAACATAGTGAACCCCTCTTCACAGTAACTCTGCTAGTGTTTCCCCAATGCAATTTATGTCACTTACCACATATACGCTTAGCTTTTCCATTTCTGTACATAGCAGTTGACGGGCGGCATGTTTTTTACAAATCTCCCACAAATTCCAGCGTGATTCGTTAGCCTGGCAACTCCACTGCACATGTGATTCGTTTGTAATCCGCAGATATCAATCAGACCACAGGTAGCTCCTCGTGGGTCTCGTCACGTAAGAATGCCATTCCTTGCCTTTGGCAAAAGATGCTATGTGACGCCGTTCAGGGCAAGAAGTGGCCCATTTCTTTGGGCGTGTAGGATCCACAGCTCCTTGTTTGTTCAGACATTTACAGATAGTCACTCTGTCTCGTTACCTTCACTCTTGATCGTCCGCCGCGATTGGCGCACAACAGACCATGTCTTGGCCACTCCACTGGCACAACAAAGCTGGTTTCTGTACACGAGACAAATAGTGAACTCTCTCTCTGCATCTTGCTTATGGCGGCGCAGACTTGGAGTGTCCACCTAAAGACGTCTCTATAGTATGCTCACTCCACACTCCTGAACTCATTCCCTGTCTTCCTCAGCTCTTCAGGTGCATTAGGACTATATTGCCTGCACTCGATCACTCATATGTAGGATACAGCAACTCTCGGTCTCTCTACATCACAATATGGGCATTGGAGCTTTGAATACTCTACTGCTTCTGAGCTATTTTGTGAGTGGTGGTAGTGAAGCAATCAGAATACTGGTTTCTGCAGACACCCTGATCTCTCTCCCTTGGAAGTGTACATGAACGCCTTGAAAACTGTATCGGTCAGGCTTTCGTGTTGGTCGTTGAGGGCCTGATATACATCTTGGTTAGATGAATGAGTTTGCCCACACCCTTCCTGTAGATAGTCTGCACTCTATCTACGAGTATGCGCCATACAACTCACGATCTCACTTCTATACTTTCCTCCTGACTATCATGGCCTTCCACTGGTGCGCTGGAGCGAAAGAGTATCTTCTGATGTCGCTCTGAGAGCAATTCAAGTACTCACTTCACTCGCCAAAAGCTCTGCTAGCCAACATGGTTGTGGCGATCGCAAGTCTCTCTCAGTTTAGTGGAAGGTTCTAGTCCCTCTCTCTGCTAACCAAAGTCCTGCATCCAACGTGGCTATACTCCGCAGTTGTTGACCCACCTTCAGTATACGAACTCAGTGGGTTTCTTCTTGATTCCATCAGTGGCTTGCTTGAGCACTTTCTTGTGTCCGGCACCAAGCAAATCATCAACCCAGGAAGCCCACAGAACCAATCCATTCTTGGTCCATTTGAAGTAGATACAAGCATCACTTTTGTTCCTCTTGAATCCAACCTTCTGGAATGCTCCCCAGCACTTGATCCAAAAACCCCAGCACGTACTCGGCCATGTTGGGTCCTGTACTAATGTGTGTGTCGGGATTTTGCTTCATCCACAAGAGTACCACATTCTAGCTGGGTAATTATTTCTCAAACTATCACTACTACAGCACACTGCACAGAACATATAGATGTACATCTTGTGCTTCGGATCAAACTCTCCAAGTAGGAATGCACCCACTACATCCATCAGCTGGGTACTCCAACCAGTCATACAGATCAGCACAAGAATAATCATGATGCTCATGTGTGCCACCACAGGTGCAGCCTTGTCCAGCTCATCATAGTGCTCTCCATCTACTTGCTCAAATCCTCTGGCATTGACCCTTGCCCTGTACACTCATTGGCCTTCTTCCTCATGGCCCAAGTAGTTGTCAGGATCTTGGCATCTTCAGGAATGTCCTTGATAGGAGTAGGAGTATGCGCTCTCTCGAGATTTTGCTCATCTTGACCCATACTTGTGTCATCGCTGGTGAGTCTCAACTGCCTCTGTCTCGCCGCAGTGTGTGGTTGTCTGGGTAGCCAATGGGCCATCTTCAAACTCTCGGAGATCGCAACATACAGTTGGTGTGGTGTGAAATTCCCACCAGAGACCTGCTTCCACAATGCAAATTCTCTTCCGAGCATTCATCTCCGTTTGGCATGGATCGTCTCATTTATCAAAGGACATGCTCAGATTTCATTCCCTCTTCTGCTTGACAAGCGACAGAGTCATAGAAGTAGTCAGGGTCATCATCCATGAGAGTTTGAAAGTGCTTTTCAGCAGGGGTTAAACTCTAATCATATCAGACTCGGAGCCAATTGCGCAGCTTCCAAGAGTTCAACTCTGTCTGCTCCAGACATCCTTCGACACTTGAGATAGTAGTCCGATAGTGTCTCGATCCGCCTCTTCGGGAACACACCATAAGACTGAGTAGACTCCGAGCATTAGCACAGCGAGTTCTTCACTGTCATTCAGATAAAGTATTCTCTTCCATAGCATCACGCTCTCAGCACTCCTGAGAGTGTGGCATATCATCGGCTCTCAGACTAAACGTCGCCGGCTGATATCAGAGGGTCATCATCACTGTTCCGAGTCATTCATCAGGTCATCTCTGGAGAAAGTCAGTGCATCAAGAATCAGTTGCTCCCCATCCTTTCAGCTCGATTGGTTCTGAAGCTACTCTCTGCTCACGGAGGCCAATGATATCACGAGGCATAGGTTTGGACGCGGGACTACTCTCGGTTCTTGCAGTGGTGATCTAACTTTCATTGAATACCTCGCGGATGTGTCATGGAGTAGAACCCACCAAATCTATGCACAACTTCGGCCAGTATCTGTTTCACTTGGTTGCTTTGTGCGCTTCAGACATGCACTGTCGTCCCCTGCCTCACCCCATAGTCTCTACAGGTGCCTGAACAAAGGGGGCTGGATTGTCATAAACTGGCTGAAAGCAGTCTGGTCGCTAACTTTGCATATTTTTATAACGCGGGCAGTCAATCGCCATACCAACATCGAGTGACAGTGGTCTTGCAGCGTATCAGGGAGCAACAGAAGCAGCCTTGTGTGTCAGGGCGATTGATATCTTTTCATCATGCGCGTGTCCATATGAGACGAACCTTAAAAACTCACCCACTATGGGTGTGGTGTGGTGTATACTAGGCAATACTCAACAGCAAGTGGTGCATCTCCAGTGCTTGGTCTTTGAGACGCTTCTCAAAGTTTGTTTTCAACCAGCATTGTCCATGGCACCACATCAGGCAGGAAACCTCTGCTTTTAAGCTGATACAGCTTCTCACAGGTAGGCTCCACCATACCATTTTTTGACTTGTAGAAGTTGGTGATCTTAGTGCCAGTGCAGGCATAGACCAACACATGTACCTCCAATGCTTGTGGAAACATCTGTACCTAGTTCTCCTATGATGTGATCCTACATAAGTACTCTGTCAATAGTGCAGTGGTGTGTTCTATGTGTGCGACCCGGATGTTCACACTGCTCCCTTTAGGTACAGATTCTGGCTTCCTTGGGGGAATCATTCTTCTGCTTGGCCTTCTAGCACTCAGACACACAATCACCTGAGCAAGGAGCCCGCAGAGAGTTCGCATAAGACACATATAGGTGTCGGCTCCCGTTGTTGCCAGTTCGTTCTCCTTGTGAATGTTCTTCTCGCTGCGTGGTGTCCAAACAGCTCTTCTGAGCTTGCAAGTGCTCATCCTGATTCTTTTGGG